GGAAGAATGGATGAAGAAAGTGTGGAATATATACACATTAGAATACTACTCAGCGGTAAAAAACAATGACTTCTCGAATTTTGCATGCAAATGGATGGAAATAGAACACACTATCCTGAGTGAGGTAACCCAGACCCAAAAAGATGAACATGGGATGTACTCACTCATAATTGGTTTCTAGAGATAAATAAAGGTCAGTGAGTCTATAATTTGATCTCCTAAAGAACCATGAACATATTTTAACAAAGAAGAGGCTTTTATGCAGAGACTGTTGCTAAGGCTTCCCACCAGGACACAAGATTCCCAAATGTAGCCCAGATTCACATTAGTCGGGGGTTCATAAAGGCTAAAACCATAAAGTTATATTCTTTTTTGCAGCCAGTAATCTTTCAGGTGTCCTGCTTATCCCCAGCAAAACATGCTCTTGTTTACAGCAGCAGAAACAGCAGATCACTTTGGGACCATCTTGCACCAACAACAGTTTTGTTAAAGTTGCACAAGACCGGGCAATTACAAAACAACTCCTAACATCTAGATCTCCAATTTTGCTTCGTAGTTAAAATTTTTAAACAGAAAGCAGGCCATCAACATAACTAACGTTAGCCATCACAAGTATCTGTCCTGCCACGGGAAGGTATTTTGTTTTGTTTTTTGTTTGTTTGTTTGTTTTTTTGTTTTGTTTTCTGCAAAGCATTTCACATTTGACAGCACCAGCTACTAGAAAATAAAAAGAATTCTGCTTCCTATTCGAATTTGCCAGTGCAGATGTCCAGTAGAAAAGAAAAAAAAAAAAATCTCAGAGTCTTTACACATCAATCCAAAATACTTCAGCCTGTGTCTGGTTTTTGTGAAGGCTGATATTATTTCCACTTACGAATAAGAAACATTTGTATATCCATCATTAGCTGATATAACTTTATCAGCTAAAGGTTTAACTCTAATATTTAACCCGGGCCAGTCTTTATAGAGGGCTAGGGAGACAGCGACCTCTTCTGGCTTTTGTGACCAACTGCACCCGCACCCCGCCCCTCCTCCTGTCACTGAGGAGGTGGGGGCCCGAAGCTCTGTCCAATCGAAAGCACTGTTATAAGAGTTTCCAATCAGATTCCCTGACCGAGTAGGGGGCGGGCTACGTTCAGAACTAAGGTTCTCTTACCAGCACTACCCTCCCCGCCCCCTGCCGACACCCTCCCCTTCCAACCCCTCTAGGCATCTGTCCTGAGCTGCCTCTTGGTCTAGGTACCCGGAATTCTCTGCCTGGTTCTGTCGCTAGTGACTCGCTACTCCCTGCTGCGGGGAGCTCCACTGCTAGGACGCGGGGGGTCCAGGAACCGGAAATGGTGAGCGTGCAGCGTCCAGACCTGGGCTCTGTGTAGACCCGCCGCACCTTCCCTCCCTGCCCCTCCGGGCGGTCCTGTCCTGCCCCGGGCGCTCAGATCTTCACCCGGGCTGCCGGCATCTCGGTCACCGGGCTGCCGGCATCTCGGGCACCGGGCCACTGTGGCCGAGAGCGGCTTGGTTTGGCGGGGCATCCTGGGCCTGCGTCCGTGCCAATGCTTTCCCGAACCCTCGCTGTCCTTTGCGCCCAGAGCTTTTACGTGCGTTTCTGGGTTTCTGTGTCTATCTGCGAGTCTTTGTGGCTTTTAAATCTGACCGTCCAAATCGAGGTGCGTGAGCGCCGTCCTCCACTATGGCTTTGCTGTCGCGGGCAGCTCTTTTTATCCGGTGCTTCTCACTACTCTTTCCTCAGGAAGTATTTCCTTGGGTCATTTGGGGTCAGTAGGAAGCCAGATTCTCACTTTGTGATCCTGATTACTAACTTTAACTCTCAGCTTGTTTCTCTTTGTGCGGTGAGGGGGCGGTTACTGAGAATAGAACCTAGGCTTTCCTTACATGCTAGGCAAGAACTCTATTACCGATGGTGTTGATTTTTCTTTTCCCTAAAAAAAAAAAAAAAAAAAAAAAATTTGTTTTTTTAAAAGGCAGGTTCCCTCTGTGTAGCCCTGGCTGGCCTGGAACTAGCTATGTAGACCAGGCTGGACTATAGTATAGGCGGCACCAGCATGACCGACTCCATATTTTTATTTATTTATTTATTTTTATTTATTTATTTTTTTTACTTTTTTTTTTTTTACGACAAGGTCTTACTCTTTAGATGACCCAGATTGAATTTGTGATCTCTCTTCCTCAGTTATCCAAAATGGAATTACAGACCTGCAATATGAGGGCTGGCTCCAGCGTTTGTGGAACTGGAGAGAGGCGCTCAGGGGAGGGGATAGTACTTGGCAGATACCCGGGAGCCATTTGCCCATCCGCGTCCTCTGCCCCACCTTGTTGCTGATGGGTTTAAGGGTGGTTAAGGGATTCTCAGAAGCTGAATGGGTGTCTCCTTGAAGCGTTCTCCCACCCAGCCAGTGTCCTTGAAGTACAAAGTGAGGCCAGGAGAATCCAAGATGCACACAGTGAAAGAGATGTGGAGATTTGGCAGAAGTTCTGAGAGATGAACCAGAAAGGCACAGTTGGGTCAGGCAGTAGGGGATGGAAAGGTGACTCCTTCTGCTCCCCACTTCCTGTCTCACCTGGCAGAGCTGGCACATGGCCCATTTGTGAGGACATGATTTCAGAAGCTCAGGAGCTAGGGAGTAGGCAGAGGCGGTCTTCTCTTTTTCCCACCCTGTGTGTGTGTGCTTGTCCCAGAAGCTCTAGGCTTTTTGAATTTCCCCTGGGATAGAGTCACTGCTGTGACAGGGTTGGGTACAGGCCACTGAGTCTCCAGGGAAGGCTTTGAAAACTGAGTGGGGTACAGGAGTGGGAGAGCAAGGACTATAGACTTGTTAGGGGAACACGTGGGCCATATACCTGTTAGCTGTCCACAGACCTGTTAGGGAAAACACAGACTACACAGCCTGTCCCCAGACCTGTTATGAGGACACACAGGGGTCCTATCTGCTGTCTCGTGTCTGGGTACTGTCTCTCCATTCCTTGTTGATTGCAGTTTTGTTTTCCCACAGAAAAAGCCATACTCCGTAGTTAAGACTGGCCTAGAAGTCGTTTTGTTACCTAGACTGGCTTATAGATGCAGCCGTTTCCCTGCCGGAGGCTTCCAAGCACTGGAATTAATAGCTGTGAACTAATAGCTTTGAACATCCAACTCCACCTATGATCCGATTTTTCTCTCTCCCCTATTCTGTGTGCTTGGTAACTTCTGAGCAAGTCCCACAAAGTAGGTATAGAGCATTGGCTCGAAAAGGAGCTTCGCCTGCTGGGCTGTTGGGCTCCACGTGCTGCTGTGTAAAGACGTTTTGCTCTTTTCGGTGCTCTGTTTGTGTAAAATAGTGGAGAAGGGTTCAAATCCCAACCCCATCCCCCGAAGCTGGGCTTGGTTGTGTAGTTCTTTAATCCCAGCTGCTGAAGAGAGTGAGGCAGGAGGAGGAATCTAATGTTCAAGTGTTCCAGACCACCCTGGGCTACGGAGGCATCTCAAGGCCAACCTAAGCAAGTTAACGAGACCCATCTCAAGGGACAGACCAAGAAGGAAGTGGGTAAGGTTAGCAGCCAGGTCTGCTGTCTCTGCTTCCCACATTAGCACTGTGTGTGTACAGATTCTTTTCTGTCCAAGAAAGTACAAATGTGTTCTTGCATGCTACGAAGAGGTCCTGTTATTGAGAAGGCAGTGACTGATTGTCTCTGTCCCCTCCAGTACCCACCCTGTCTACCTGGGGAGGTGGGTCCAGTGTCTGTCCTACCTACCCCACCACAGTTCTTTGTGGGCCTCTGAGTTTGTGTCTGGGTGTTGATCTGATTGTGTGTGATGTTTCTTTCTTGAATATCTCTGACTGGCTTTGACTGTGGGAACCTATGTTATGGTTTTGGTCCCCTTAAGAGACAAGCCATGCCCACTCCCTCCCCCATCCACTGAGGCAGGCTGATCTTCAGCTTCAGGCCTGAGCTCAAACTCTCTTTTCCATCCTACTCTTGGAGAGGCAGCTTAGCTTCTGCCTCTCTCCCCACTTCTCTGCTTCCCTCCTCTGTCTCCTCTCCTCTCCTCTCCTCTCCTCTCCTCTCCTCTCCTCTCCTCTCCTCTCCTCTCCTCCCTTCCCCCTCCCCCCCCCCTCCCCTCCCCTCCCCCCTCCCTCTCTCTCTGTCCACCCCTTCACCCTTCCTCCTCCATAACCCCCTGAATAAACTTCAACCTCACCCTGCATGTCGTGTCTATTCATGTTTCTGTCTTCTGCCCGCCCACCATGTGTCTCCCTGCCTGGGACCAGCCACTGCTCAGGGACCAGCAGCTGTCTCTGCCTGGGGCCCACTGCCTGCTGTCATATGGCCCGCCACCACTGCTCTGAGACCAGCAGCCATCTCTGCCTGGGACTGGCTGCTCCCAGAGCCCGCTGCCTGCCATCACATGGCCCGCTACCACCATTTGGGACCTACAGCATTTCTGCTGCCTACTGCCGCGGGGATCTTGCAGCATTTTTTTAAAAAAGAACAACAACCTAGGCACGTGAACCCACTCACTTTATCTGTAATGTCACTTTGTCTTTGTCCAGTATCTGGATCTCTTACCATATATTCAACAGAAACTGTTGTCACTTTGTCTCTGTCCAGTATCTGGATCTCTTACCATATATTCAACAGAAACTGTTTTTTTCTGAGACCCTAGATTTCTAAGGCATGGGTTGGAGTACTGATTCCCACATCCTGACTCAGTAACTTTGATTAGTCTCTTCTTTGAGCTGTTTCCTTGTGTATGTGTGTATATGGTGCTCAAGAAGGAACCTGGAGATTTGTGTATGTTAGGCAAGTTCTGTGCCATGATAGAGGCAGGGTCCCAGTGTAGCCCAATGGCCTTTCGCTTCCTATCCTCATGTATTGGCTTCTAAAGTAGCTGGGATTATAGCCTGCACCACCAGAGCTCCGTTTTTGTAGAGAGGAACCCAGGGTAGAGACAGACAGTTGCAGGCACCAGGCACTACTTTTTTTTTTTTTTTTTTTTTTTTGGTTTTTCGAGACAGGGTTTCTCTGTGGTTTTGGAGCCTGTCCTGGAACTGGCTTTTGTAGACCAGGCTGGTCTCGAACTCACAGAGATCTGCCTGCTTCTGCCTCCCAAGTGCTGGGATTAAAGGCGTGCGCCACCACAGCCCTGCTGCCCAGGCACTACTTACTTGATCTTCTGTCATCTCTGCTTCTGTTTGTGATGAATCTAGTGGCCAGTGTGTGTGCACAGAGGCTGTGAACGGGCCTGGCCTGGTGGGGTCCCAACACCTTGCCCACTGCACAGAAGTTGGTCTTTAAGGAATATGTATGGCCCAGTGAAAGAGACTTCTGGACCGAGGTGCAGACATGGTGAGAGACACAGGTCAAAAGGCCCATCAGCTGACCACAGATAGAACCCGAGGCCTGGCCCTGGGGTGGTGGCACGCTGATTCCTGTTTCCCTACTTCCAGCATCTGGGAGGGCTTGGCAGGAGGACAGCTGAAAGGCCTGTTTGGGGACATTAACTCGAAAGGCCGATTCAGTTATTCTCCCATGTACCCTGATACAGGGAGCTTTCCAAGATTTCACCTGGGACAAGCCACTGCTGTGGTTGAGTTCTGGACAGTCAGTGTACGGCCAGGAACAGAGGGAAAGACTGTAGACATCAGGGAGATAGGAATGGGAACTGTACCCTAAACTCGGCCAGGGGCACATGGGTCGTCTGGTTCTTTATCTGTCTGTCTTGTGTCTACAGCTCTCACAGCTCTCCCTATGTCCCTTGTCTCCCATCATCCTCTCTCCTCTTTTTTTTTTTTTTTTTCCTTACAAGCCTGGCCTTGGGTAAAAGTGGAATGGTTTTTACCGTAGCTTGTGACCTTGAAGCATTGGCTTGGCCATCGTGGGACTGCAGAAGACACTAGGCTCAGGAAAACATCTAATGGCTGGAAGAGACCATGCTAATGGTCCCTAGTCTATGAAGGTGGACTGCGGACAAAGTGTCTTTTAGAAGGGGATATATATATATTCTAGATAGAAAGGGAAAAGACAGTGAGGGACGAAATCAGGGCTTTAGCAAGGAGGTGATGGGCTCAGGTAGGGGACATTGCCTGCAGAAGTCTGAAAAGTAACTGAGGAGAAATAATTCTGAGGGGCCAGAGTTGGGGGAAAGGGGTCTGAGAGAAGACATTTGTCGGGAGTCTCAGGATGTGAGAGTCTGAGGGAGAAGAAATTGTTAATCTGAGGTTAAGAGAAGGGCTCCTGAGAGAGAAGAGAATGCGGGAAAGATGTACAAGGGATGGGATTTTTTTTAAGTTAATTTTATTTCTTGAAATTATAATTATATAATTTCCCACTTTTGTTTCCT